ACATTTAAAACACATTTTTTTTTTTTTGTTTTTTCTTTGTTTTCTCACTGAATTTATTTTTTTTTTTTTGTTTTCACTTGTTTTGTGTGCAGAAATTAAAGTTTGTGTTTATGTTAAGCCAAAGAGCTGCTTAAAGAATAAAAATAAAAGCAGCTTTTGCAGCACATTCTACTTATTATAATACATAATACCCAATAAAAAAAAACAAAAAACATATGCAAGGAATGCAAATTAGATGAAGAGTCAAAATGCGCATCAAATTATTTTATTTAAGTATCCCTGCTTACAATCAACTGAGCAACAATTAATCATACTTATAATACTACCTACAAAGGAACGCAAAATCCCCATTCCAAACCATATCCCAATCCCAAATTCCTCCTCCCACCCCCAAAAAGTGTGTTTAGTATTCAGATAACTAGTATCTGGACACTTAATAACTAGTAACCAGCTAACCAGCTAACCAGGTGTTCCCGTGCCCGCTCCTGTCACCCCCAACCACCACAACCACCACAACCAACAACAACACCACCACCACCACCAATAATACTACCACAACCACTACTACAACAATCAACAGTTGCCAACGGGCAGTAGTTGCCCTTGCCTGCGAAATGTTAAGTATCAATCCAAATCAAGCCTTCACACACCATTCAGCACACACACTCACATACCTACACACACACACACACACACACACACACACACACGAACACACACAGCACCTGTTTTATAAAGTCCCCCCTGAATCACCCTCCCCTCCCCACCATGCAACCCAACTATTTGTATAATGCGAACATCTAACTGTGTGTTTACCCAGCCCATAGCCTCCCTGCCCTGCCCTGCCATGCCCAGTGACCAAGCCCGGAACTCCCAACGCCCCGCCATGCCCCACCATGCCCCCCTGCCTTCAAAAGCACATTTGAAAAATGGTATATTTGGTTCTTTTTCAAAAAAAAAAAAAAAATAATAAAATAAAAAATACCCCAACCCAAACCAACCAATTAAACATTGAACCAACCGCATCATTCAGGCAAAGGTGCTGCGTTTGAGTTTGAAAAAAAGAGACACTAGTGACAACAGCAAAAAAAAAAAATATAGTCGGTACTTGCAACAAAATGTCAAGTAATCAAAATAATAAGCACAAAAAAACAAAAAAAAAAAAAAAAAAGAAAAGAAATAAAATAAAAAAATAAAAATGAAAATGAAAATAATACGAAAAACATTTTACAACAAATCAATCAGGCCAAACATGTTTCAAAATTTTGCAAAAACAACAAGACAAATTGGTTTTCAAAACTATCCAAGAAATTTCCCAAAAACAAAAACAAAAAACGAAAAATTCCACAAAACATATTCGTTTTGTGCTTTTGGCATAGCCAAACACCGTCAAAACAAAATCAAAAAGGTTACAGAATACAGAATTTCGAATGTATCTCTGCTGTACACATTTTTATGATGAGTTCGAGTTCGAAATGGCTCGCAAACTTATTGCAGCCTTGTGGTATGCCACACATTTCCCACGCATCCACAAGGCACCTGCAACTGCATCTACCGCAAAAATCGAACAGCGTCGTCCAAAATTAAATACCAAAGACAAAAACAAAACCAAAAAAAAAAAAAAAAAAGAAAAGAAAAGAAAAAAAAAATCTACCAAGAAAAAATATAAGAACAAAATCATATTTTTCTTAAAGAAGAACTCTACTCAAAATTGCACAAGTTTGTCCAATTTGAACAAAACTTGTGCAAGCAGCAACAAAAAAAAAAAAGAAAAAGAAACAAAAAAGAAGAGAAATACAAAAAAAGAATACAGAAAGAGAAACAGAAACCAAAACCAAGTTTTATTAATATTTTTATTAACATATGTTTTTGCGAAACGCGACACTGCGAGAAAAACAATGATTGCAAAATTTGCCAATTACTCAAATTCGACCAAATTAAACCAAAAGCGTTTTATCTAATTTGATCATGATTTTTATTGAACAAAAATGCAAATGAAACAGAAACAGAAACAGAAACAGAAACAAGCGATTTTTTGAATTTCAAAAAACCATATATATCCCAAAATATATATAGCAAAATCAGCAAAAAAAAAAAGTTTACATTGATTTGAGCCTGGATTTGTTAGTGTAATAATGTAAAGTAAATAATACAAAAAATACGAACAACGAAAACTACAAATACAAACCAAACAACAACAACAAACAGACAACACACGACAAACACAACACAGACACACACACACACAAACATTGACACACACACCAGACATTGAGACACACACACAGACAGAGACACACACACAGACACACACTGATTCCACTGAGAACAACTTACACTGAACATGAAAAATACGCATTAACCCAAACATAACAAAACAGAACAAAACATAACAAAACAAAAAAAAACAAAACATAACAAAACAAAACATAACAAAACATAACAAAACAAACAAACAATGAAACAATAAAATACAAAAGCAAAAACTAAACATAAACATAAACAACAACAACAACAACAACAACAACAGCAACAAAAACAACAACAGTAAAAAAAAAAAACAACAACAACAAAAAAAACAACAACAACAACAAAAAAAACAAACAAACAAAGTCAAATATACCGAAAAGTCACTATTGTCTCTTTTTTTCTTCTCTTCCTATATGACGTATAGGTGGCAGCACCAGCCTACTCAGCGGCGTCATAGTGCCCGGTGGTAGTGACAACCCTAGTAATAGTAGTAGCAACAACCAACAACAACAACAACAACAACAAGTAGAACAACAACAACAACAACAACAGCCAACATCACAACACCACCTCCAACAACTCCAACTCCAACAACAACATCATTCCACACTACATAACCCACAACAACAACAACAACAACAACAACAACAACAACTGCACCAAGAACGCGAACGAGAACGTGAACGAGAACGCGAACGAGAACGGAGCAGTGTTGCCAGCAGCAAGCCGAACAATGATCTACACCACAGCAGCAGCGAGCGGAGTTTGTCCCGCTCCTCGCAGTGTGCCGGCGACACAATGCCGTTGCACAGCGGCAGCGCCACCCCCTCCCCCTCCCCGACGGCAAGTGCGAGTGCCGCTTACCACAAGCGCGAGCGCGAACGCGAGCGGGAGCGGGAGCGGGAGCGAGAGCGTGAAATGGAAGCAACACAGGGAGCGGGCGGACAGTCGCCGCCATCGCATCATGCGCATCCGGGTCCGCCGCCGCACTTTGGCCAGCATCCGTTGTCGATGCTGTCGGGGCATCATCAGCATCCGATGCACTCGCATCATGAGCTCTCCTCGGTGGCAGCGGCCGCTCATCATGCGCATGCATTGGCCCGTGCCGCTTCGCCGCTGGAGCGCCACCATCTGTTGCATCAGCATCATCGGCGCGCCTCGCTCTCGCCGTCGTCGGCGGCCAGCGGCGGCGGTGGCCGTGGCGGATCCGCGGCCAATGCGGCCAACAATCTGCTGTCGTCGTCGCGAGCGAATGATGTGGCACAGGCGAATCGATTGCTGTTGCCGCTGCCACTGAACGCGTGTCATCGCTGTGACGTCTGCGGCAAGCTGCTGAGCACGAAGCTAACGCTGAAGCGCCACAAGGAGCAACAGCATCTGCAGCCGCTGAACAATGCTGTATGCAATCTGTGCCACAAGGTCTTCCGCACACTGAACTCGCTGAACAACCACAAGAGCATCTACCATCGACGCCAGAAGAATCATCATTCGTATTTCCATCACAGCACCGGGGTCGTCGGACAGGCGGGCAGCCCGGGCAGCCGGCTGCATCAGTCGCTCAGCTCGCTGACCGCTGCGGCGGCTGCCAACAGTAGCGTTGGCGGTGGCGGTGCCGGTGGCAATGCTGTCGCCGCTGCCGCGGCAGCCGCTGCGGCCGCTGCTGAGCTGCTGTTGTCGCCCATTGTGGGCGCCGCAGCAGTTGCCGGCGGTACGGCAAGCTCGACGCTGCAGTTGGCGGCGGCCCATCAGCAGCAACAGCACCAGCAGCAGCAGCAGCAGCAGCAGCAGCAGCAACAGCAACAACAGTCGTCGCCCAACATGGTCAAGCCGTGTATAGACTTCTTATAAGATCAGCATCAACTATTGCAGCAGCTGTTCCATGTTGCGCTCAACAACTCGGCGGCAGCAGCAGCGGCGGCGGCAGCAACAGCGGCGACCAGTGGTGCCTCACCGGCGGGTGGACCAGTTCCTGGCAGCGGCGATTTTGGGGGTTCCGTGGTTGGCGGCACACAGACGGTCGATCTCACACAAATGGATCAGGGTGGCGGTGTCTATGCGGCCGCAGCAGCAGCGGCGGCAGCAGCTGCCGCCGAGGGAGTGGCAGACTTGCGGGCACTTCACCTACACCAGCAGCATCACGGCCATCTGCCCCATTTAACAGCACACGCACATCCCCATTCCCACACCCATCCCCACCCCCATGCCCATGCCCACCAGCACCAGCACACAGCACACACCAGTCACAGTCACAATCACAGTCACAGTCACAGTCACAATCATGGTCACACCCATCCCCATCACCATCCCTATGAACGTATGAATTTATTAGACCAATAAGTCGATCGCAGAAATGTATGCTACACTATTACTACTATATATGGCGACCTCTTGAATATTAAGTTACACACACACACACACACACACACACACACACAAGAAAGAAAGAAAGAGAGGGATATATATATATATATAGATATATATAAATGACCTAGAAGAAGGAACATCATCTTGTAGGGTTTGAGAAGCGACGGCGAGGGATTAAGCAGCACGCAGCGAGCAGATAAGCTAGTACTAAATGATGTATATGCACAGACATGCATACATGCATACATCAATACTTACATGCATAGACACATACATATATGACTATACTATACTAAATACATACATACATACATACTCGTATGCACTTTGGATCTCAATCTAGCGAAAACTGCATTAAATGTTTCGGCAAACAACATCAAATTAAACGAAAAAAACATAAAACAAAAAACAAAAACAAAAAAAAAAAAAACAAAACAAAAAAACAAAAAACGAAATACTACAAAATGAAGATAAACAATGTTTAGGCAAATGAAAAGAAAAAACTGTGATTTTTTACAAACTTGATTATAAAACAAGCAAAACAAAAATGCAAAAATGCAACAAAAAAACAAAAACAAAAAAAACAAAACAAAAAAATTCAAAAATCTTTTATGAGGATGCATTCATGCATACAAACAAACAAACATACATACATACATACATACATACATACATACATGCATCATAAGGTTAGAATGCGCATAGAACTGGGCAGGTTTGTTTGTTTGTTTGTTTGTTTTTTTTTTTTTTTTTTTTTTTAAGAAAATCGGCAAAGCCAAAATGCAAATTGTGTGTTTTTGATGAAAGTGTAAACGAAGTCAAGAATCGAGAAAAGACCTGTGAAAATTCGACCCAACCGAGCGAAGCAACGTAAAGCGAAGCATAAAAGACTGTTAGACCAAAACAAACAAACAGACTCACACACACACACACACACACACACATACACCCCTATAACAATTATATTTACCTATTGAGTATTACACACAAACACACAGAGAAGGGACAAACATTTATAGATGGGCAGATGAATGAATTCAGTGCGAGCAAAACTATTTTCAAATTAGTCAAGGACTTTCAACTGCATTCGCACACACACACACACATACACAGACACACACACATACACAGACACACACACACACACATACTCACACACACACACACACTCAATCCACATCCAGCTGTCATCCAAGTTGGTCGAAACTTGGATTATATATACTTATATAGATATTTGTATACAGCGAACTGAATATGGATCATTTTGCAATACGCAGCCTTTGTATTCCTACATACATTCATACATACATACGAATATGTAATGAATCTTTATTTACTGTTACACTTTCCGTTTGACAATACGGCCAGTTGACCGGCGCAACATGCAACATGCAACATGCAACACATACAACTAACATTCAATGTACAACAACCAATACCAATGCGTATGCTCGCTTTTTTTTTTAAAAAAGAAAAGAAAAGAAACAAAAAAACTTAAGTAGGGTATTTTTTTTTTGAAAGGAAAATCATATGTACATGTAGCCAGTAAGTATTCACTTTTGATGATGAGGAGGAGCAGCAGGATCTTTGTAAAAACACATACCACTTGTAGCAGTGTAAAATCTAAGCAAACGATTACCTATGTGTGAGTGTTTTTTTTTATAGATGTAATAATAAGTACGGTATATGTATCTATGCAATAGAAATATAAATAATAATGTTATGTTTAGTCAAGGATATACATATGCATATACACAGAATACACAAATAAATAGATAGCGTATACAGTGTACTCGTATGTATATATATATATATATAACTCTGACTTGACACAACAACCATAAATCAATTTTGAAATAATCAAATCAATTGAATTTAACCTCTCTCTCTCTCTCTCCAACCTGTAACCATAACTATATATATATATATATATATATATATATATATAAATACCTACAATGCATAGAAATACTCCACAAAACATATGCTGATGTAGATCCACATGTATATATATATATATATATATATATGTGTGTGTGCACCCAAATCTGAAAAGTCGAAGAGAAATTTTTGTAAAATGATGTACATTTCTATTTGTACATACGATTCGTAAAAGTCGACAAAAACTATTTGCAAGGATGAGTAAAAATTGTACGTTACTTTCCTTCCACACACACACACACACACACAGCTGCAACTGCAACTGCAACTGCAACTGCAACTGATTATCCTACAGTTGTCAGCTGCATCTTGAACATTGAGAAATTGAAAAACTCATACAACAAATTGCGCATTGAAACAAAACATTTTTACAAATTGTTTGTTGGTTATTTTGACCAGATTGCCGCACACAGCTGGACAACTGGCAACGTTTTGTTTGTTTTTGTTTTTTCTTTTTGTTTTTTTTTTTAATATATGTTGAAAACGAAAAGGACAAGGACTGATAGTTTTTAGGCACAGCAAATTGCAAAATTGCAAATTACAAAAAATATTGAAAATTTTCTATCTGTCGAGCGAGCTGTACTCGTCATATAAACACATCTGTAAGATTTGATTTGATTTCTGGGGAGCCAGCGACTATTTTAAAGAACTGAAGAAAGCAAAGCAATTAAATTGTTTTAACTGGGTTTTTTTTTTGTTGTTTGTTTGTATAGTCAATCCCTACATTAACCAATTGGCATGTATTTTGTTAAGTGAACAAATTGGAACTTGTAACGTATAATCAAAATTTTGAATAAGCGCAGTATTTAAGAGTTTATTTGCATTACATTGATTTTCAAGACTGAACTTTTGAAGTATCCTTAAAAAAAAAAACAAAAAAACAAAAAAAGGGCAATTGAGCGGCATTATTGTTAAGCGTGCAATTTCGAAATAGGAGTCGACGACCAGCGCACCGAAGAAGCGCAAATACTTTTACATAATTTAAATACATATATATATATATACATATATATATAAATATATAGATACATATATATGTGTGTGTGTGCAAATGATTGTTAAATGAAGTTTACCACTTGGCAGTGGAATTTAATTTTTTTATGCATTTATAAAGTCGTACATACATACATATATACATACATACATATATATATATATATAGATATATATTTATATATATATATATGCGAATGAGAAGGTACTCGCTAAGCAAGTGGAGTTAATAACTTTTTTTTTTGGCACAACGAAAAGTCTGAAAATCTTTTTGATTTATGTATACCCAACTGATGTTTATACTATTATTATATGAATATTATAATTTTTTTTTGATACCAAATTTGATTGACGTGTGTTTTTAGACTTTATAAATAAGTACATAGCGATATGAAGGTGCGTTTCTAACGTCATCATACCCAATAATCCCATACTCATTAATTCATGTTTAGATGTTGTTCGATTGCACAGCAATCTGAGCATAAATACGAGATGACTGATGGCTCAACCAGTATAGCCTTATCAGAAAACTAATTATTTTTCTGGAATTGTGTCATTGTGTCATACATACATACCTACACACCTACATACATACATACATACATACAATTTTAAATTAATATTTTTTTTTAATTAGCAAATGCGATACGCACACACACACATACACTCAAACACACACACACACACTCATATACACAGCTCAATTAAAATTAACAAACTAAGTGTAAATACTTAATCGAGATATACACATCTAATCCCAAATCTAGATATTGAACGCCATGTTTATATAAATAAGACAATGCGAAAATATGAATTTTATTACAAATCTAAGTAAAATGTATACCGGAAGTTGCTGCTTTGGCTACTTTGGCCACTTGCTAAACTTGCTAAACGGTAAATACATACTTACATACATAGTACGTGTAAATGCGAGCAGAATAATGCAGAATAATAAATAATTGTGTACATACATACATACATAAATGCATACAAATACATACAAACATACATAGTTATATGTATATGCACAATGCTCTCCATTTTAAATGTTGTTTAACTATTATTAAAGCAATCAATCTTGTCTAATCCAATAATAGAAGAGAAGAAGAAGAAGTTGATGATAAAATCCGGATAAATTTAAATATATGTGTATTATTATTATTATTATTTGTGTTGATGAACACAAAGTGCAGCAACCAGATTAACCAGGTTACTCCAAAAATATATAAATCAATATTCAATTTGAGCTAATCCAAAAAAATAGCCAAAACCACACCAAAACCAATTAAGCGTATTATCATATTAATTACTCGTAAATTCGATGGCAACTGCAACTGCAACACAACTCGTGACACGACAACATTCACAGCAACAGTAACTCAGTAACAGTAACTCAGTAACAGTAACTCAGTAACAGCAACTCAGTAACAGTAACTCAGTAACAGCAACAGCAACAGCAACACAGTAACAGCAACACAGTAACAGCAACACAGTAACAGAAATAGTCAACTTAACATTTACATTGACACTAACAGCAACGACACAGAACAGTAACACAGAACAGAACAGAACAGAACGGAACAGTACAATAACAGTAACAAACAAAACAAAAGAGAGAAAAGCAAATAATAGCGATGTTCGTTATTGAAAAAATAATAAAATTACTATGGCTATTTATGTTTTTGAACTATGCCAACACGTAAATACTTCAAATACAAACCACTTTCCAAAGTCCTACTTAAATGAAACAATATAAGTAAATACATATATATTATTCAATGAAACATTAGCTCCAAGCCGCACTCTACCATATTGCTTACAATATTATTATAATTACAATACGATAACAAACAAAACACAACAGTAACAGTAACAGTAACAGTAACAGTAACAGTAATAGTGACAGTAACGGTAACAGTAACAGTAACAGTAACAGTAACAGTAATAGTAATAATAACAGTAACTAACTAACTACTTGGGTGTTAGCAATAAGCCAATCCGAAATATATCTTACCATTTGAGTGTAAACATTATATACTACATACTACATGCATAAACAGTAAACAGTAAAAACAGTAAAAACAGTAAACGGTAAACGGTAAACAGTAAACAGTAAAAAAAAGTAAACAGTAAAAAGTAAAGACTCAAACCAAAATGGCATTTCGAGTGAGTAGCGAGAGCAACACAGCCATAGCCAATCCAATGATTATTAATTGAGTACAGTGAACCCTGACTACTCCAAATACAGCTCAACTCAGACACTTGAATTTGAAGACTGGCAACTGGTTTTAGCCAATATTTTTCGGTGTTTTTTTTTTTGGTTTTT